GCAGTAGCCTTTACTGATTTCAGGGCATCTCGGTACGATAGCTTAAGGTGTGAGCGAACCTTTTCAACTTGTTTGGCTTGTTTCATACAAGGACAACCCCCATAATTTGCAGTACAACAAACCCTTGATTAATGCGGTTAATAAATCCCCGAGTTTTACCGTGTTAAGCAAAACTGCGCTAATCAAACTTAAGAATATATGGGAATAATTATAATGAATCCTCATAAAATAGCAAAGTTCCATAATAATTTTTTTTCCACTAAAATTCATCATATTTTGCTTAATTCAATTCATCATTCAAGCTTAGTCTCCAAAGTGATATTTTTATGTTTAAGCGTTCCCTTTTTGTCCATAATTATGACGGCAATTTATCAAGGAAAATTATGTAGTTTGATAAAAGTGAGCAGAAGATATGGCAGCAATCTTGACCAGTTGAAGGCTAATGAGTAACTAGAGCACCAGCATGGCGCACTTACCGGCGAACGTTGCCGAACTCGACCATTCGAGTTATTTTAGCTTTCTAAAGTACGGCACACGGCGCATTTTTTTACCAACGTAGTACGGCGCACCGCGATGGTCGTTAAAATGACAAAATAAATTCCCGCGCACCTGGCACATCTTCCTGACCATGGTTGCCATATGACTTTGGAGAAAATTTCTTCTAAAATAAAGATGGCCAGGATTGCGTGAAGATAATCAATTTTCATTACATTGCGCCAACTGTGCACAGCAATAGCTTAAAAAAAGTGAAAATGTGCGGGAAAATTCACCGAAAAAATACATCATCCTTAGTGTGGTTTTTCTGAGCAGTCGGATGATATTGATGCTCCATCTCCTTGTTCTTTTTTCTTACGTTTAGCTTTGGGCTTGGGCATTCTGCTGGTTTTTTGTACAAACAAGGTACTCCAAATAGGTGCCCGTCTCAAAATTAAGACTTTTCCATTTAGTCACCGACTTAAAAAGGTACTCACTCTATCCTATACACACGTGACACGTCCGTAGTCGACCGAAGCTCGAACCGGAATCCAGCTGACTCCTTAGTCTTTCTGAACCATGAGTACGTAAGTCCGGAAATCGTAGCGTATCAAATCAAGCTCATTTACTTAGTGAAAATAGCAGCGCCAACGTTGATTAGGTACAGTAGTTGTGGCCAGTAGCCGCTTCTTGCAATGTTCGTAATTTGCTTAGAGGCCTAAAATCCAATCATTCGAGATCGGAGCTATCCGATCAATATTGACTGAAATTTCCTGTTACAATCTATGTAAATATTCTGTTAAACTTTGTTCCCAACTCAATTACAATTATAATTTATAAGAAAATAAAAAAATTACGAATAAATAGAATTTATGATGTGCGAATGTTCTTGCAAGAATTCTCGAGTGAATAATTGAAGCTCACTCCTCTTAGAAAGTGGACAAGTGCAAACGCTGAGGCGTGTTGCACAGGCGTTTTGACGTGTTTCTACTTGGCGTATTGCACAAGGCTTCCAGGTGAGCTGCACAGGCGGTTTTTATCATGCGTTCTACCAGGCGTGTTGCAAGTGCGTTTTAACACGCATACTATCAGGCATATTCTAAATGCCTTTTTTTCAACATGATTTATACCAAACACGTTGCATAAGCAATCTAACAAACGTTCAACCAGGTGTGTTGAAAAGGCGGTTTGTAACATACGTTCTACCAGGCGTTTTGTAAAGACGGTTTGTAACACGCGTTCTACCAGGCGTGTTGTAAAGAGAGTTTGTGATACGCATTCTACCAGGCGTGTTGTAAATAGGGTTTGTGACGCACTTTCTACCAGGCGTGTTGTAAAAAGGGTTTGTGATACGCGTTCTACCAGGCGTGTTGTAAAGAGGGTTTGTGACACGCGTTATACCAGGCGTGTTGTAAAGAGGGTTTGTGACACGCGTTATACCAGGCGTGTTGTAAAGAAGGTTTGTGATGCACGTTCTACCAGGCGCGTCATAACGGCGTTTTCACATCCAATATTATGTGAACTGACGAATTCATAATTGCTGGTCGATGTGATGCTTAGGTTGAATTTTCGTTATAACGATCTAATCGAACTTACTAAAATGTCATATACAGCGGTACTCATATGACAAATTCTGAATAATACATAATGGATATGATTTTTGTAATTACGAATTCATGCGATGGCTCCATCGTGATTATTAAATTTTCTAATGCCAATCTGCAGAAACTTCTTCAAGTTTTATTAGGTTAAATCAAACTATACACTTAAATATGATGAGCGCGTGACCATATTAGTCATCCCTGTCCTGAATTATTCCTAATGTCGCCAGCAGATAATTTTATTTTAAAAATATTGTGATCAATTATGAAAATTCGGGCGATTTCTAGTCATAATGTGTACACTGAAGATCGAAACCATGTTCATTAACACTCGTTGCCAAGAGATTTTTGACATGTATTACATTATTAGTTAGAAATGTATTGACAAAAGTGGGGTAATTTTAGTGACTGCAACACCCCTCCTCTTGACGCGCTGCCGACCGCCCAGGTGCTGCTGCTCACTCAGTACCTTCTGGCCGCCGACACTCAAGCCCTCGTCAGCAGTCATGAAGTGAACCTCGCACGTCACGGTCCTTACAAACAGGCCGATGTTGCGCGCCCTGCAGATGTCGCAGTCACATGTCAAGCGGCAACTCTCATCCTACAGTTCATTCTTGAGGAGTGATGACGTCATGCATTTCAGTCGACATCGAAATAGCTCACACGTTCACGAGAATTGCTTCCGCGTTTAGCAATTAAAATTAAGAAGTAATTGGAATAAGATTGTATCATACATTCTTCATTATTTATCCCACCTGTCAACCGCTCCTACATCTTACGCAAGTATCTAGTAAAGATGTTAATACTTATACCATTTTTTATACACCAATGGATTTTTCGCACGATATTTACCATCAATAGAAATTTCACTTATTCTCGTAATGAATTCCAGCCTAGCAATACATCGCTGTCCTGCCACTCTCCTCGGGACTTCTGGCCTGCAACACTTCGCTGTCCTACCACTCTTGTGGGGACTTCAGTCCAGCAACTCTCGTCGGGACTTCTGGCCTGCAACACTTCGCTGTCCTACCACTCTCCAGGGGACTTCAGTCCAGCAACTCTTGTCGGGACTTCTGGCCTGCAACACTTCGCTGTCCTACCACTCTCGTGGGGACTTCAGTCCAGCAACTCTCGTCGGGACTTCTGGCCTGCAACATTTCGCTGTCCTACCACTGTCGTGGGGTCCAGCAACTCTCGTCGGGACTTCTGGCCTGCAACACTTCGCTGTCCTACCACTCTCCAGGGGACTTCAGTCCAGCAACTCTTGTCGGGACTTCTGGCCAGCGATGCTGTTGCCGTTGTGCAAGTCTCTAACCACGGGAAAGGTGAATTCATAACCTTCTTGGTGCAACTAGATAATTTAATGGTGAGTTAAAGTTGGCGTTTTCTGATTTTTAATGATCAAAGTTAGAACAAAGGATACAAAGTTTATTACAAAGGATAAATTGATAAAATTCTGGCACTGCTTATTAAGTTGTCCATAAATTAGGAATACCTAAGAAAGACAGTTTTAGAAATTCAAGCATTGAAAGGAAACATAGGGATAGCTAAGAAGTTGGATATTTCTGAGGAACATAGACGAATTCTTGGTTTGCTGAAACTGTTACAAAAATGAATGTTATAATATCTATCAAGAGAAAATGTAATACCTACAATACAAAGAAAAAGAGCTTAAGAACACCAGGCAAACTTTCCTTAGAATACTCAGTACGGCATTTCAAGGCATGTATCATTATAAGCATACAATAAGGCATGTATCAGTATTAACAGCATGAAATATTTTGTTTCAATTGCAGGGCATCGATATTAAGGATTCAGTCCTTAAGCAGCAAAATTGAGAATAAATTGATCCCCATTTTATGAATAAAGCATTTTCTGGGAATAAGAAACAAAAAAATCACTTATCTTAAATTTTATGACATCATTACATTTGAGCTTGTTTAGCATCAACAAATCTTATTCAGTTAAATCTGCCCGCAAGAATGTAAAACAAATGTTGACACTAACAAATGATGAAATTCAATTAACTGAAGGCATTGTAAGTTTTGCACAGTCACTGAATTACCTACTGGTAAAGTCAATCAATTGTACAACAATACAAGAGTGCATTCTGGTATCAGGAAACCATCAAAGTTGGTAACTATCAGTCAGTAAACCTGGGGATAACTGCAACACAGTTACCCCAGCAGCATGACTGCCACCATCACAACACTGACGGCTTCCAGCCCCTCATGAAGTCTTTCAGTAAAATGGATTCTGACATTCTTATGAACAGCATCTGAGCCCCAACAAGTGAGAGGCTTTGTTGTTTTCTTCCATACCCACGCCGTTCTGAACGCCTGCCACCTTTGAGGGACACTATACAGCTGTGCCCCACTTCCTTCATGGAAGAGGGTGTATTGGGTTAGTTACTCTACATAGCTTGGTCCTGTTGTCTGAAATGATCACTTGATTCCTGTGTCTAGCTCTCTCCATACACATGCATCTTCTCACTTGGGTCACTAAAATGGTTTCTGATGGTGCCTGTAGAGTACATGCTGTTCAAATATGCTTTTTCATTACACGTATCATCACACTCTAAGGAGCATCAAGAGGGTTTTTCTGTAGAATGCTTCACAAAAAAATGTTTTTGCAAATCCATTTTGTTGATGCAAGCATAATCACACTGAGAGCATTTATAAGGTTTTTCTGCTGAATGTTTATAAAGATGAGATTTTAAGTGCTCTTTTGTTATGCAAGCATAATCACACTCAGGGCATTTAAAAGGTTTTATTGTTGAATGCTTGGAAAGGAAATGATATTCCAAGCTCTTTTTTGTGCTGGAAGCATAATCACACTCCGAGCATTGAAAAGGTTTTGTTGTTGAATGCTTGAAAATGAAATGACTTTTCAGGGCCCCTTTTGAGGTGCAAGCATAACCACACTCAGAGCACTTAAAATGTTTTACTGTTGAATGCTTGAAGAGGATATGATTTTTTAAGGTATTTTGTGTGCTAGAGGCATAATCGCAAATGGAACATTGAAAAGCTTTCATTGTTGAATGCTTGGAAAGGAAATGATATTCCAAGCTTTTTTTTTGTGCTGGAAGCATAATCACACTCCAAGCATTGAAAAGCTTTCATTGTTGAATGCTTGAAAAGGCAATGACTTTTCAAATTACCTTTTGAGGCGCAAGCAAAATCACACTCAGAGCATTTAAAAGGTTTTACTGTTGAATGCTTGAAGAGGATATGATTTTTTAAAACACTTTTTGTGCTGAAAGCATATTCACACTCAGAGCATTTAAAAGGTTTTACTGTTGAATGCCTGGAGAGGATATGACTTTTTAAGGTACTTCGTTTGCTAGAAGCATAATCACAAATGGAACATTGAAAAGCTTTCATTGTTGAATGCTTGAAAAGGAAATGACTTTTCAAATTCCCTTTTAAGGCGCAAGCAAAATCACACTCAGAACATTGAAAAGGTTTTACTGCTGAATGTTTGGAAAGGAAATGATAATCCAAGTTCTTTTTTGTGCTGCAAGCATAATCACATTTGGAGCAATGAAAAGCGTTTTCAGTAGAATGCATGGAAAGGAAATGAATTTTCAAGGCATATTTTCTGACGCAAGCATATTCACACTTGGAACACTGGAAAGGTTTTTCTGTTGAATGTTTATTAAGAAAGTGAGTTTTTAAATCCCTTTTTCTAGTGCAAGTATAATTGCACTTAGAGCAGTGAAACTTCTTCATTGATGAACATTTAGAATGGCAATTCTTGTGTAAGATTTCCTTGCAACCCACATACTGTTTGGGATCAGCATCAGTAGCACATGAATTCAAACAGAATTTGCAATGGTGTTCACTTCTTCTCAAATGATTGGAGTTGATTTGCTTTTTTAGCGATTTTCTTGTGGTACATGATTGTTCGCAGTCAGGGAATTGAATTGATTTTTCTATCATATGCTCAGCATTAATGTGCTGCTGCAGTTGGCCTGCACCTGCAGGCATCAATCCACGCTGGGAACACCTAATCCTGATGTGTTGCTTCGAGCTGGACAGTCCAGAACTGACAGTGCTACCAGCAGCCTCTCCTGATGCCGGTGCTGACCCACCTTTGCCATGCTTTTGATAAAAATATAGGTTAAAATAATCTCACATAATAATAACAGCACAAATTAAACTGTTAACTTCAAAGTGTGATTGTTATTGAAATCCCTAAGTTGTCAAAACAAAAATTGAAAATTGTGACAAATACTTCAATCATGTGGGAATTTTCATCCAGTCTGACCAGGTTCATGCAAGGATTACTAATCATCATTATTCTTATTTCATATTATGTCAAATACATTAATTTTGTAAAATTTGCTATGCTGATTAGTAATAAAGCTATGGTTTTGCCATAGTGTAGTTACCCTTCAACAGGAGGGTAATACCCAAATTATTTCCAATACCTAAAACCTAAAAATCTCAACCACCCTCATTAACACCTCACATGGCCCAGTAACTCTATCACCCTTAAGTAAAAAGTAACACCCAGCTGCTCCCACTTGAACATTAGCTAACACTCCTCAGCTTAACCTTTGATGCCATGTTCAATTTTCCTGCCCACCATAAACCACAACAGAAAAGTCACAAAACTTGAACTACCGTAGACAAACTAGAAGCCCTCTCACGAACATCATACATACAAGACAAGTACTAAACCTACAACAAACTTACAAAGCCATCTGTCATCCAATAATCCAGTATGCCTGCCCAATCTTGACCTCCGAACAATCATTCCCCAGATCTACAAGACATTCTTTCACAACTTCTTACTGGTCTAAACATGCTCTTAAACAGCTTGAAAAGCAGAATCAACAACATCAATGCATACAGCTAATGTCATCTCTTTGGGGAGATCCAGTAGCAATCGCACATTGGATGCAGCCTCGGCAGGGGATGTGATGCCTCAGATGATCACAACAACCCCATATTTTATATTATGAAACAATATTTTCAGAATTACTGAGATAAATTTAATGTATGAATTTAAAAATTGTATTTTGCTGTTTTAATGCTCAATATAAATCCACTATTTTTCATGTCCCAGTTGAAGATAGTTCAGGACCATATAAAGTAGGACTTACTCTGCTATATGTGGTATATAATATGGATATTTAATATTATCACAAGCAGACCATGGACAACTTCAAGATGAAAGAACTACCTACTGTTGGCAGCCAAAATAATCCATCCTTGTCCCAAGCAGTGCAGCGTTTTTAATAATGAACACCAAAGACGATGTTACAGTGAATGTAACAGATTCGAGCTCATTTATTCATCTCCCTACACTGTTTAAACTAGATATCTTGTTCAAGGATTTGGTCCTTACTTAGGGGAATCAAAGATATTGCCATCTATTTCTGAATATCAAAAATAATCAAATTTCACTTGCAGGGTTAAAAATGTATGAGGAAAAGGTACCAGTTTAACTCCAAGTATTCTCCAAGTTGCCTATTTTGTATTCAAATCCTGACAATAAAACAAAACATTGGCAATTTTGAAATTTTTGGGAAGTTCTCTCAAAAATTCATAGTGTACGTAGTGTAAATCACGAAAAGCTGAAATAAAAAAAAATAATTACATACCTGATTTAATAACAGAGAAGAAATGTTCTGTGAGGAGTCTGGGTGGGTGTTATGAGCCTCAACTTGGGCTTCTGTCTTGCATGGCACACAAGAGGAGAGTGCAGGTGCAGGGCTGAGATGTGCAGTTGAAGAAGCCTGGAGGGATGTGGAGGACAATAATGATTTGGCTGCAGTCAGATGTGTACTTTATGAAGAATGATATGATATACAACTCCTCAAAGACTTCCTTGCAAGTTCCTAACTTCTTAAATGGACCATTATGGTTATAAATAAAAAATTTTGGCTTTTCTGTTTTCTTAGCTTATTTTGTAGCTGCTGAAGAGGCACGTCTAAGGTAGCAAACCGCATGTCTGAGCGTGATCTATTTTTTTCGTAAAGTAATTTCAATAAGATATAAAATGAACATTTTTTAAGAATATGTACACAGATTTATTTAAATTGAATCTGTACTGATAGATCACTATTCTTGATAATTGCAAAGTCTTTGCACTTGTTTGAAAGCTACAAACGAGAAGCCTTCAACAAAGCTACTACCATGGATGTAAATGCAATAATTATTGCAAAAGGCTGTATGGACATTCATAACATGACCACTTTAGAAATATATTTACAAATTTTATTTTGAAAAATGGTATTTATATATCATTACGTATGTGTGTTAATTGTAAAGTGTTTGCACTCATTTGAAAGCTACAAACCAGACGCATTTAACAAAGCTACTACCATGGATGTACATGCTATAATTTTTGTGTAATGCAGTTAAAACTTAATTAAAATGAATATTTATATTTATTCATTACTCAGCGTAAATGGCTTTTCATTAAAAATTACCTGGCGACGCATCTTTAAAATGGCCGGCGACGCTTTGGGCTTAAAAATCCATATATTGCCGACGCTGCATCCACCCTCTGCATAGTGGATTAGGAGATTCATCTTTCATTGAAACAACCAGGAGCTGATGCCTGGAGTTCCTAGAAATGTGGTCAATACCAGCTTTGCCAAAAGGCAAGTTTGCAAGAGCTGTGCTTAGAGAGATTTCATTAGAGAAAAATTTGCTCAAAGGATGGGCATTAGGGCCATCAAGATCTGCAACAGGCTCTATTACCTATAACTATTTTAGAATTTGAATCAGAGCTCTCTGGGTATGACTGATGTACACGTTGTACGCCATACGGGAGCCGGGAGGCTGAGATGAGTGAGATCCCAATTCCCAATTGAGCATTGGTTTTTGGTGAGGCAGCTGCAGAGCCCAGAGGCAGGTATATCAATATCAATATGGCCTTCCATTGTGGGATGAAAGCCCTCAAATGTATCACCAATATCAAGGACTTCAATGTCATCATTAACCAAGTGGTCTCTTACCAGTTACCTCATTGCTTGTATTAGTACTAGGAGTAGGTGGTACTATGTCATCAAGGCTGAGTCTGGCTGAGAGGTGGCATTTGTGACCAGGTGTGAGGTGGATATTGCAGAGGGATTAGTAATGCTTACACCGGAAGCAGAATAGGTTTCTGAGCAGTCGGATGATATTGATGCTCCATCTCCTTGTTCTTTTTTCTTATGTTTAGCTTTGGGCTTGGGCATTCTGCTGGTTTTTGTACAAACAAGGTACTCCAAATAGGTGCCCGTCTCAAAATTAAGACTCTTTCCCATTTAGTCACCGACTTAAAAAGGTACTCACTCTATCCTATACACACGTCCGTAGTCGACCGAAGCTCGAACCGGAATCCAGCTGACTCTTTAGTCTTTCTGAACCATGCGTACGTAAGTCCGGAAATCGTAGCGTATCAAATCAAGCTCATTTACTTAGTAAAAATAGCAGCGCCAACGTTGATTAGGTACAGTAGTTGTGGCCAGTAGCCGCTTCTTGCAATGTTCGTAATTTTCTTAGTGGTCTAAAATCTAATCATTCGAGATCGGAGCTATCCGATCAATATTGACTGAAATTTCCTGTTACAATCTATGTAAATATTCTGTTAAACTTTGTTCCCAACTCAATTACAATTATAATTTATAAGAAAATAAAAAAATTACGAATAAATAGAATTTATGATGTGCGAATGTTCTTGCAAGAATTCTCGAGTGAATAATTGAAGCTCACTCCTCTTAGAAAGTGGACAAGTGCAAACGCTGAGGCGTGTTGCACAGGCGTTTTGACGTGTTTCTACTTGGCGTATTGCACAAGGCTTCCAGGTGAGCTGCACAGGCGGTTTTTATCATGCGTTCTACCAGGCGTGTTGCAATTTAATAATGAACACCAAAGACGATGTTACAGTGAATGTAACAGATTCGAGCTCATTTATTCATCTCCCTACACTGTTTAAACTAGATATCTTGTTCAAGGATTTGGTCCTTACTTAGGGGAATCAAAGATATTGCCATCTATTTCTGAATATCAAAAATAATCAAATTTCACTTGCAGGGTTAAAAATGTATGAGGAAAAGGTACCAGTTTAACTCCAAGTATTCTCCAAGTTGCCTATTTTGTATTCAAATCCTGACAATAAAACAAAACATTGGCAATTTTGAAATTTTTGGGAAGTTCTCTCAAAAATTCATAGTGTACGTAGTGTAAATCACGAAAAGCTGAAATAAAAAAAAATAATTACATACCTGATTTAATAACAGAGAAGAAATGTTCTGTGAGGAGTCTGGGTGGGTGTTATGAGCCTCAACTTGGGCTTCTGTCTTGCATGGCACACAAGAGGAGAGTGCAGGTGCAGGGCTGAGATGTGCAGTTGAAGAAGCCTGGAGGGATGTGGAGGACAATAATGATTTGGCTGCAGTCAGATGTGTACTTTATGAAGAATGATATGATATACAACTCCTCAAAGACTTCCTTGCAAGTTCCTAACTTCTTAAATGGACCATTATGGTTATAAATAAAAAATTTTGGCTTTTCTGTTTTCTTAGCTTATTTTGTAGCTGCTGAAGAGGCACGTCTAAGGTAGCAAACCGCATGTCTGAGCGTGATCTATTTTTTTCGTAAAGTAATTTCAATAAGATATAAAATGAACATTTTTTAAGAATATGTACACAGATTTATTTAAATTGAATCTGTACTGATAGATCACTATTCTTGATAATTGCAAAGTCTTTGCACTTGTTTGAAAGCTACAAACGAGAAGCCTTCAACAAAGCTACTACCATGGATGTAAATGCAATAATTATTGCAAAAGGCTGTATGGACATTCATAACATGACCACTTTAGAAATATATTTACAAATTTTATTTTGAAAAATGGTATTTATATATCATTACGTATGTGTGTTAATTGTAAAGTGTTTGCACTCATTTGAAAGCTACAAACCAGACGCATTTAACAAAGCTACTACCATGGATGTACATGCTATAATTTTTGTGTAATGCAGTTAAAACTTAATTAAAATGAATATTTATATTTAAATACCTATATATAAATATAATTGTCCAATTTATAGCTTATTATTCACGGTAAACTAGACAAGAATAAGTCTAAAGATGCGAGTTGGTACCCAAAATGCAAATAATTGGCAACAGAAAAGCTTGGACTATGATATCAAGAATTTTTTTAGCATATTCTCCTTTTTTCAATAAATTTTACTTTATTTGGCTTCCTTGCAAAATTTAAAAATCTGAAAAAACCATCTTAAAAACATGATAACTTCTGCAGTATTCAAGCTGCAGTAATGAAAGACATACCTACCATTTGATTTGTAAAGACCATACTTAGTGGCTTTATGGGAGCCTTTTTTTAATTTGTGCATGTTTTGACCATATATGGGGGGAGTTGAGGAGGAATAATGGAATTAATGTGGAATAATAGAAAAAACGTTTGTAAAAGAAAAACGATGAGGAAAATAAAAAATTGGGGCTCTAGAGCCACTAGATAATATTGTTACAAATCGAATGATATGGGTTTTAACGTGGTAGCATGTGGTTTGCAAAAGTTATTAACTTGTTAAAGTACCCCCATTTTTGCTGTTTTCTGTTGATTTCATGTTTTCTTTCATTTTTTCAAAATATTCACGCAAACAAAAATGTCTCGATTTCTGTTTTACATATGAGTACAAAGTTTTAATAATAGTAATATACATAATATCTGTAAATAAAAAAGTGTTTTTTGACTGTAACTGTCCCCTTAAATGTACATGAATATGATAGCATCACAAATTATTGGCTATAAAAAGTCTCCTTGTATTGCTGCTTCATACTAATGCAAATATTTCACTAGCCTCTTTGCAAAAGTCAGAATTTTAGAAGCAAGTACACATTTTTAGTAAGTTTTTGTGATCAAATTGGCATTCACAAATTTTGAAGGAAAACTTTATTTGTATTATATTGACATTACATGTTATCCAATATTATTATTGACATGTTATCCTGTATTATTCTTAGCAATTTTCTGCTCTGTTCTTATTCATTCATTGACAAGAAAGGAAAAAGTATTTTGAAAATAATTTGGACAGTTTGGCATGGTTCCTGCCAACATAAACCATCACGTTTCATTTTAATTCAAATACTACTACTACTACTACTACTACTACTACTACAGGATAAAATGGTGAAATAAGATTTAAAATAACAAATTTAATGTACCCTAAGTAATAAGAAATCAAATTTTCCATTACTTGCGACCAATTATTGAATCAAGATGAGGGGGCTCCATACACAATTATTTCTTTATGCTTCAGATTTAATACTGGGTTATGATTTGTTTCATTATGCCTAATTTGAAGATTTAATTACAGAAATAGCATTCTACCAATTTTTTCCAGGAAAATCTATGCAGGCACTTCAAATGATTAGCTTAGCTAAACATTTGCATTTCAACTCCAACTACCTCACTTCCATATAAGAATGGTTCCTCTTTGATGGATACTTCTTCTGTTTCATTCTCAGGCTCCTGTTTGATGGAGATAGCAGAAACTTTGAGGGCTGGTGGAGGGTCAGTTTTTTCCTGGGCTGGAAAATAAGTACATTAATGTCTGGTAACACTATGCTATGGAGCAAGAGATCTCACAGTAAATATAATGTTCACCAGAGTAATGATTCATGTGAGTATTAGACAAAAAGTTAAATGGGGCTGACCTCCAACAATATTGCTCAGATGAGTGAGACTTATGAGGTGGCATATTCCCACACAATGATATCAAATCTTGTATTAAAACTCCAAAGAAATAAATACAAATGAAAATTAAATCTGATAAACTAACAAAACCTCAGTTACTCCTCAGCATAGTAACAAGTGATTACTGAGACACATGTAATCTGGCTTACCTTCAGACTTAACTTTCCTGCCGCCAGGAGATGCTTGAGTGAGGCTCTGCTCTGGGCATTTGCCTTTCCAGACTGCAGCATCGGAAAGCTGGTGCAGCACTACACGACATTCTTTGGTAATGGATGCCATCATCAAATGCTTTGATAATTATGAATCACTGAGGTCAAAGTTTTTAATCTATAGTTTTGGCAGCAATTGTAATAGAACTGGATGGATATACAAAATTGTAGAGAGCAGTAGAGGCTCAAAATGAATTCTTAAATTTCATCATTTGCAACAAAATTAACCTGCCTCAAACTACTTGAGCCCACAATTGCTTGCTCAATGCAATTTTAAGCAATTTTTGATGCACCCAATTTGGCTACATTTGAATACAGCATATAAAACAGAAATATAAAACATCATGCATGGATAAAACAATTCCACTGTATGGATATGAAAGCCATTATTTTTAGAGAGCATTTTTTGTCCAGAACATTTCACTCAATATTAGTGTAAAAGCATAGCAATATACATTTTGCTATGTGTATATACAACATTAGTGTCTACGCATAGAAATTTTGAGTGACTACTAATGTTGAACATAGAGGTCATGATGGGCTCTTGTCCTCTGAAAATTCTTTCAGCAATGGCTCCCTGATATCCTTCAGAGGCCAGGGCTTGTGAAAGTTCTTCGTTGGTGACTCCTTTGCCAAAGGGATCAATAACTCCTACAAAAGTTGTTTGGGTTGCCGGAAGTCTACATTTGACCTTCCACGGCCATAGGCTCTCCATTTCTAAAAGGGAGGAGATATTATCTGAAGATTTCATGGCAATGACTAGTAAATTTTGAGCAGCATTCTTTGACATGTTTGCAATGCCAGTCTTCCCAAATAGAAAGTTAGCCAAGGCTTTACTACGAGCTAAGCTATTTGAAAGAAATCTTGTCAAATCAAGCTGAGTATCTCCACTGTCATGTTGTGGAACAGGTTCAACAAGAATTATAGGATTATGCATTGAAATAGTACATCAAAGTTAGCATAATTTCTTTGACTGCAGTAATGACCGAGTCTGAGTCCGAATCATCATCGTAGGGCTGATTGGGGCATGAGCTCTCGTATCCCTCAAACTTGGAATGATTAGTGTTTGTTGCAGAATGATTTAAAATAGATACAGGCTCTGAAGATTCAGTAGCAGTTGAGCAGGCAGGTTGGCTATTGGAGCTTGGAAGAAGAGGGAGACTTGGTTGAATTGTTAAGGAGCTTTGGCTTAGCAAAGACAGTTCTGGAAGAGATGGATGGTCATTGGGACTTACTGTTGCAGAGTTAAGTGAGAGCTGGCTTTGGTCAAGTAGGTCAGATGGGATTCTTTTACCAGAGTGATGAGGTTGAGGTGACTCACTTTGTCTCCTCTTTCTATTCCCATCATGCCAGGCAAGGCTGGCATGGGGCAGGTGCCCCTCTTCCTTTCACACTAGTAATAACAAATTCAAAGTTCTGATCCTCATTACTTGATCAATGAAAATTTTGAGGTCTTGAAATGCAATGTTTGACACAAATGTTTGCAGTCACTGCAAATGCCAACCTGAGTCATTCAGTGATGGGCACTGGTTCACAGCGCCGGAGCACAACTGGCCAGAGTGTAACAGGCCCTACTGCAACAGGCTCCTACTAATGTAACCTAACCTAACCAGCGCCCATTGTGGTAGCCTGGTAGGGCCTGTTGCACTCTGGCGCTGTGAAGCAGTGGCTGTGTTGTGCAAAGTGGATTTACTGTTAGCCGGAGTTACCCACAGCTCATTGATCTGAGGCTATGTGTAGATATTGCAGGCTGATGGATCAGGTTGGCATTGGGCCCAGTGCCTGTTTACGAGTCAATTTTGTTACCCACGGCTGCGCTGCCATCTGAACATCTGGTTAGTTCTTCTTTTTTTTCCGGGTGTCCATACTGGGTGGACATAAAGCCACATGACAGCACAACTGCAAGGATGGGCCTGAGAGATTCTGCAGTTTTGGACCTCTTGGCATGGAAGTCAATCCACTTTATTCTTGCTTATAAAAGGTCAGTGGACATAATGGTTAGGCATTACAGCGCATAAGAGAAAAGTTACACCTAACATGAAAAACGTCAGAAAGCGAGGGCCATTGCTTATAGAACTTGGCATAATAATTGATAGTTAAATTGGGTAAGCTAATACAAGTAAAAAAATTTAAGTCATACATGCATATACATGCGTACATATACATATAAATATATACACACACATACATGTAAGAAACATTTCCATTTTGGTCACCTCACCTGTCTAAAGTTTGCTAACCCTACCTGACTTCAAAATGTATACCATCAAAAATTGAAAGATTTTCCTTTGTACATCAGCATCATAGTTCCCTCCCGCGGTCAGGAAGATGTACCAGGAATTTTTATTATCATTTTATCAATTTGTGCTGTGCGCCGTGTGGCCATAATATGCCAGTGAAAAAGTGCACTGTGCACCGCACTCCCTAAGGGGTTTAATGATGAATGCGTGGCAATGCTATCACACATGAACAAATATCTGCATCAAGCTGGCTAGATTTCTAACGTGTTAATGAATTTATATCACTTGTTTGTTTAAATCCCAAATTAACTAAGACTTTAAAAGCAAAGAAAAGTCTGCAAAAATTCATATCTTTATAGAAAATGAAAAGATATTGATTTTCTGGTGAAGTGCAAAGTTTATGGTGTTTTTCCCAAATTCCTTCGATTTAAACTTTACAAGCATTGCCTGCATACCTCCACTTTTATAAATCCTGGCAGAGCAAGCTTCTCTCCAAAGAATTATCCTCCAAAAGAAAGACTCTGAAAATTTTAACTGATTTGGCAGCCAAGAGTTAACTACAAGTTGGATGTTTGTTTTCATCCCTCAACGCCTATGCTATACCGTATGCCAACATGCCAGACAATCTACATAAGCATTCAAAAAAATTACATCTCAGACTCCTCAAAAGAAACTTCATAACCTAGGCATCTACTATGAAATTCATCCTGTCAACCCTGACAAAGTTGTTTTCAACTTCAGTTCCGTCAACTTGGAACCTCACGTTAAATTTTTGCTTGCATTTGGCCTTGATTTTTATCTACCCGTTTTCAAGTTCAACTTCTGTACATTTTTCTTAGCCTTTGAAAGACTCGCTCTTAGCATTGAGAATGTTCCTACTCCTAATTGTCCTGAATTTTTAGGCAACCTGCAAAGTTTAGCCTACCCGCATTTTTATGGCTTCAAGTCCTATAAAGTTTTTTCCTCTGGATTCCAACCTCGTGACACAATTTTATTGAAAGGCCTAGCAAAAAATAAAGACCTAGTCATTTGTAAACCCGATAGGAGCAAGGGTGTTGTTCTGGTGGATCACAGTCGCTACAACAGTAGCCTAAATGCTTACTACAACAGTAGCCTCACCAATCCTTCCAAATTTGTTGAATTTATAGATTAGATCTCTAAAACCATTTAGAAAATTGAAGATAAAATCAATAATTTATAGCGTAAACTTAAGATTCTTCTGCAGTTTCACCTGAAACTTATACTAAACTTTATACCTCTGGTTCTTGCCCTGGTACCGTAAAGTGGGGTAACTTTGACCACTTTTTTTTCAAAATGATGCCATTTTCTTTACTAGATAAGTTAAACTTAAATTAAAACATGCAAAATACAGGTCTATACTCTAGCTTTACTTGCCATAAATTGCTGGCTCCTGTCTCTCATAGTTTTGATGTAATTTAAAAAAAAAGTGATGGTCTTTGTTACCCCAGCTCTTGGGGTTTCTTTGACCGGGTGGAAAATCAATTTTATTTTTTGGTAAAATAACTCCAGGTTGTGGTGCATTGTAGTAAAACTCTTCTAGCTACAGATGCAAAAGACAAATTTTAGGAAAGTGTCATAGTTTGCAAATGGGGGGTGCTGCCCCCCAATGGGCAAAATGTGACCACCTAATGGCAGCCGTGATGGGGTAACATTGACCAGTTTGGAAATTAAGTTAAAATTATCACATATAAGACTCTGTAGAGTCTGAAACATAAAGAAAAAAACATTAATAGGTGTATCAAACATAAAATATGTTATATACAGTGGGGGGAAATAAATATTCGTACACTTGAAAAATTGTATTTTAATGTATGTAAGTACACAAACTTAACAGGAAAAGTGATTTAAATTATGTATAGAGACGCGTAGTATTCAAAAATACTATCAAAAGAAATTAAATCTCAATGCAACAAAAAACAATGCAACATGTTCACTTTTCGGGTGAAAAAAGTATTCGTACAAAACAATAAATCC